GAGTATTAAGAATGCATCATATGAATAATTTTGGAGAATATAATTTACAGAGTATTCTGCAAGGGTATATCAACTTCGGCTCCGCCCGAAGTTAGCTTTCCTTTCTTGTTGCAGTATAAAAGCAATTGACTTGAAACGATGCAAATCTAGTTTACTTATGTATACCTTATTCCTTTCGCTACTTTTTCACTTTTAGCAATTTCGGCAAAGTCTGCAAGGGTATTAAAACTTCGGCTTGCCGAAGTTAGCTTCCGACCTCGTTATATTTAAGTTTTAAAATAAAGAATTAAAAATAAAATGCTCAATTTTTTATTTTATTAGATTTAAATTTTAAAATAAAAAATGAATTTTTAAAATGAAATTAAATTACAAATCATTCCGACAGAGCATAAAATTATGTTCATTTAACATTTGGTCAATATATTGAACAACTTAAATTTCTGTTTAATCAGTAGAACCAAATTATACGATTTTTCAAGGTATTCAAGCATTTACGCCTCTCAGTTAACCAACATTTAATTATACCCGTTACTCGTAGAGTAAAAGGGTATATTGTATTCGTGCAAAAGTATGTAATAGGTAGAAGGAAGCGTTTCCGACCCTATAAAGTATATATATTCTTGTTCAGGATCACTATCCGAGTCGATCTAGCCATGTCCGTCTGTCCGTCTGTCTGTCCGTCTGTCTGTCTGTCCGTATGAACGCTGAGATCTCGGAAACTATAAAAGCTAGAAGATTGGCATTTTGCATGTAGATTTTAGGAGTTCCTACGCAGCGCAAGTTTTCAAAATGGTGCCACGCCCCCTCTGACGCCCACAAGCCACAAGCAGTGGCCACAGTTTTGATGCTATTATGAAAATTGTAATTGATATGTATTTATTTCATCAATACCTATCGATTGGCCTAATAAAAGTTTGCCACGCCCACTCTAACGCCCAAAAACCCATTAAACGCTTAAACCTGGCTTGCGCCTACATATCCGCCTTTCATGGCCCGTGGTACCACGGTAGCGCCATCTAGCGGATGACTTTGGAACAGCTGGCCAAGGTGCTAATTCGAGCGGCGAAAAACATACAAGAAGGCATATTTATATTAAGTTGTTTAGCTGAGTAACGGGTATCTAATAGTCGACTTTTTATGACTTTAGAAATTTTTATTTTTTGTTTGTATTTGGGCCGATTTATTTTATTATAAGAAAAATGTTTCTTAACTTTAGGGTGATCTTCTAATGTTTACATAATAAATATGATAAGTGTACTTATCCCTGTTACAAGGAGCAGTGAATTTATAGCCCGGCTGCTCGTAGAATCTCTAAAGGATCGAATAAAAAGCGCAGAATGACTGTCTTGCTGAGTGATTATTTGCCCCCCCTATGAGCCCTCGCTTTAAGGACGATTTTAAATCAAAGTGGATGTTCGCGAGCTCAAGGAGCTTTTTATTTGCTTCCGGGGGAGTGTGTGCCTGCCGCTTTTAATTGAGCTTCAATGAAGGGAGGCGGGTCCACGCTGTTTTTGTGGATTTCAGGCGGAGCGCCGACAGCACGCATCCGAATGTTTTGACTTTGTCGAATTAGCCATTGTGATAACATTTATGAGCCCGCTCAGGGGTTGTGTTGTGTTGTTCTGCCGGCGCTCCATCGCACTTAATTGGGCAAGCGATTGCCTGACTTGCCTACAAATGTGCGCTCGAAGGCGGAACGTGGCAGTGGGGCCAAAGATCACCCATACGCCCGGTGGGCCAGAGCCGAAAACGGGGATTTCAAAGCGGAATAGGGCGTCACGCACTTGAGGACTCGCTCACGTATTGAGCATGTGTGTGAATATTGCACGCGATAAATTATTTTAAAGCGCGTTTCGCCTTCCGCTTTCCACTTTTCATTTTCCGTCTTCCGTATTCCGTATTCCGACCCTCGGGGTCTGCCCTGCAGACATCTATTTAATATAGCGCGACGCATCAGTTTTAATATTGTTACGATTTTATTTACGCACATGAACATTTATAAACGTTTATGACATGTCAGGCCCCATCCTCCTTTGGCCCTTTAATTCCGCAGCTCGGCTTCGGCTTGTGGGCCCAAAACGGGGCGACACTACTCAAATAATATTTATTGTTTCTGATTTTTCTTTAGTCATTATTATTACGCATATTTATTATGCATTTATTAATTTGTTTTGCTGTGGTTTTTGTCCACCTCCGGACACACACAGATACTACCGTCAATGGATGTCAGCGGGCAGGTTAAACATTTTCGTTTGATTTGTTATCATTGTTGGCCGGGTTTTTGTTTTTGTTGCTGCTGTTGCTGCTGTCATGGCTCGTTGATGGCGTTTGTAATTTCGTTTTCGGCACTATGTAATTTATTAACTTTTCATTGAAAGTTATGTGCAAACGCACGTTGACGACATCTTTAATTAATTACATTTTAACATGATAATTAATAGTGCCGCGTGCGTCGACAGGCCGACAAAGCCGAGTGCCAAACGCCGAACACCCAAAAAGCTAAATCAATCGATGGAAAGCCCCAACCCCACTTGGGCAACCATATCGGAACACCCAAATACGCGTCCTTAAAGTCGCCCGATCTTGAGTTAGGTTATGGATACGTGCTCGCGATACTAAGTTGGCCCGCTTTTAAAGAGCATCCATCGGGGAATGTAGCATCGATAGCCATAATAATAACATCAGGCACAAACACACTGTCCAAAGTCGTGGGCACTGATGATGACCATAATGATACACAAACAATTGCCAAGGAATTTCAATTCAATTCCTTTTCGCACCCATCACTCGTGAAACCTTAGGGGCATGTTCTTTTTGCTTTGAATTCATTTTTCTAATGATTGACTTTAGCGTATATAAGAAAATTATTCCCCTAATGGTACTGGAATGTCTTAAAAAAAAAATGCTGCCATTTTAATAAATAATATTATATTAATATTACTGGTTCCCGTGCGACTCGGTTCAAAGGACCAGTTTTCTATACTTTTTTTTATAAATTTACTGATGATTTCGGATGAACCGCTTAAAAGCTCTCTTAATCATACTATTAACTAATGATTACGGAATTCCACTGAATGTAATATAACAAACAACACAGGTATTAAAGCCTATTAATTCTTGTAATAAATATTTTAACTCATTTTCACTATTTTTTTCCTCGATTGACTTTGCCCCTTAAACTTGCATTATTTTGGAAGTTAAAAAGTATCTTTCAGTCGGGAAACTCGCCTTCATGATCTTTGTACTACCGGCTTGTACTTTTTGTTTTTCCGCATCTTGGGCGTGTGTCTGTGTTTTTATCAATCCGCCTTGGTCACGGGACCTTTCGTCCTGCTCCTCGCCAAAGAAAGTTGCTCGCACAGTAGCCAAGATTGAGTTCTTATTCAATTTGTAGGGATTTTTTGCACGCCGGCCCTTTCGCAGTCCGCTCTTGAGGCCTAACCGCCCCCTTGCCAGCCACTCATCTTGGCCAATCCCCACTCAACTTCCCATTCTTCGGGGCTCTATTGGAATTTATTTCATATTATTTCGTTGGTCATGCCCCAGTCTCCGCCGCCTGCCCCGTCAATATTTCTGCCTGCCCCTGTGCAAGGGCTCCCTAATCCCGATCCCTTTCCCAACTCAAGCCACCACAATGCCAGTTGGCACTGCCTGGCTTTGTTTTGGGGTGCGATGGCAAAAGTTCTTCGTGTTGTGGCCCCAGCTGCAGTCAATTTAGTTGACCACCCCATCCTGCCATCCTGCACTTTGGCTGCAGGCCTGCAGATGGATCAAGTTAGCTGCTAGTTGACTCTGGCTGCCAGTCCAACAAATGCCCGGGGCCAATCAATGCGCCTGCAAAAGTGTGCTGCGAAAAAGTTGCTTCGGAGCGGGAATGGAAACCCATGAAAATGTCCTTGCCAGCTAAATGCCACACTCACACACGTGGACTCAATGCAGTGTTGCGAAATTCTTGGTATAAACTTAATAATGCATCGGGGCAAACAAACACAGGAAAGTCGGGAAGCCAAAATAAGTTTTTGGGCTAACTTGTTATTTTTGTAATTGGCACTTTGCAGTTTTATTGAGGTGGTGGAATCCCCAGAAAGGAGCTTGGGACTTGGGGTGACCGCTTCCAGCTCACGCTTCGTTCATTTGACCCATGTGTGGATCAAAATTGAACCAAGGGTTGCTTATTTATGAACTGCGTTCAGGTGTTATGATCGATGTCCTTGTGCTGCCTTGGCCACCCAACCGGCAAACTTCGTGCCCTTCCCAATATTCCTGTCCTTAACCGTAATCTCTGGCTCAGTCCGGAGCTGACGGGGCCACCGGTAACCACCTTGGAGATGAGCTGCCCGTAGCTCCACATTCCGGATGTTGTTGTTGGTCTGCTTGGGAATACTCTACACTGGGTTGGTTATTTGGTTGAGAAATTAAGGGAGAGCGGGTGGGTTGGAAAAAAGTGAAAGAAAATTAAAATGAATTACGGGAAGGCAAAAAAAACGGGCTCAAGGCAAAGCACACATATACCCTAGCAGTTAAGAAAGTTGTTTCTTGGACAATGTACCTCTTTGTTCAGATTAACTCTAGTTGTCAAGGGAGAGGATATTAAAACGATTGGGTTGAAAATATCATTCTTTCATTTTTTAGGTACAGTTTTTAATAGGATTGTTGGCGCGAAATTTATATTTATAACGCTAGTCACAACGACTATGTCATAGTCTTGTAATACTACTACCCAATAATAATAATATTGCTTATGACTAATATTGCATTTTGATCTATTTATATTATATTTATATTATTACATTTTATTAATTTTTTCTTTAATTTATAAATAGTTCTTTAATTAATCACGTTGCTCAACCGCAAAGTCTTCAGTTCAACCCAGAGATGATATTTTTTGGGCTCGGTTTTCAGTCTCAAAAAGCAACATGTTTTGTTTTAAAATAGGAGACATAGACTTAGCAGTGACTCGTTTGTCAAGACTCTACTGAAGTTCAACTGCTTTCAGTCATTCCACACTCCGGTCTCAAGCAAGCAACATTCAAAATTAAACTAAAAAAGTGATTCAAACAGATCGTGATATTTGAGTAGTAAAATCGAACGTGTTCAACATGCAGATGGTTGGGGCCCTGGTCAACTTGCTGCTCATTGCGGCCTGCTTCTACGCAATGTACTCGTTGACCCCGGCGAACAATCCGTACGGCTATATGGCGGCGTCCTTCAGCCTGGTGCACGGACTGCTGGGCATGGTGCGCTCCTTCTCCGACGAGTTCGACGAGTGCGGGCGCACCTTTCTGATCTCTGCCAGCATACTGGAGGTCATCCCGCTACCACTGGCGAACATCGAGTTCTACCTAGTATCCGATCAGTCGGGAGTGGCGCTGGTGCACGGCCTGTCGCTGATACCGCTCTTCTACGACATGCTCGGCAAGATGGGAGACGACTGGGACAGTTCCACGGAGACCCTCAAGGATCTCGCGCTGCTCGGGAACATCGGGTCCACTTCGTATCTGGCCATCAAGGACGGAAACCATCTCTATGCCGGAGTGGCTGCCACTGCCTTCGTAGCAAGATTCGGTGCAGCTCTGATCGATCATTTCATGGAGGGTTTCGGACCTCATGTGGCCACAGTTGGGAACGCTGGAATCTTGGCCCTTATGACCTACGCACTCACTGAGGGTTAATCGCTTCAGCTCCGAATAGAGCTTTTCAAGGAATTAAAACCCTAAATCAAACATAACTATGTTTTTTCTTAAGAAACTATTTTTCAACAGCAATTACAAGATGATTATTAGAATTAACCCCATTAGGTAAAAATCTAATTGGATATGACATAACAGAACATCAATTAAAAATTTTTCCAAAAAAATCTGTAGGTTTGTTTATGGTAAATAACAATTTTAGCTGTTATAAAAATGTCGACTAACTGAAAAAACATTCAAAAGACATATTTAAAAAAAATATCTTTTAATTACAACATATCACATATCAATGAGCTTATATATTTAACTGATTAAAAACTACATGCAAGCTAAAATCGGAAAATTAAAACGTACTCCTTAGAAACAGACACACGGCTATGGATCGACTTGACAGACCTGATCAATATATTATATATGATTAAAGGCTTTTGATAAAATTATAATATCCTTTGGAAGGGTATTAAAATTTGAAAAAATTTGGAAACAAATTTGGAGATGGAAATAGAAATATAAGTAAATATATTTTGATCTTTCTTATTATCCTATTTAAGAAAAACTAATAAGTACATGACTAAGAAATATATTGACTAATGTATTTTTATAAAGGGTATAAAAACTTTGTTTCGTCCAAGTAAAGTGCCTTTCTCGCGCGACTTCAAATTGCCAACTTAGTTGTTATTTGCTCGCTGTCTGGCTGAAGGGCCAACGCGGAAAATAGGCGGTTTGAGGACCTAAGGATGAAGGACGAAGGACGATCCAGGGCAGGGCTATATTCGTGGACGCAGCACTCTGATGGCTCTCACGTCACCACTTCTGCAAATTGCGGCAATAATGCAACAAAGGTTTCTTGGGAAACACATACCAAATTGCATAAGCAAGGCAACGCCGCGGGGGGCGGTGGAAAATGGGGTGGTTGGGTGGTATGGATGTTCAGTCCTTGGCAACCGAAAGACCGAGGGGCTGAAGGACGGCGTCAGTCGCTTGGCCGCCAAGGCTCTTGAACCTCTTCAACCGACCGACACCCCCTGCATTTCATTTTCAATTTGATTTTTCCTGCCCCCTCGGTGCTTTGTTTTTCGACGGACCACCCGCCGCCCTTGCTTACATTTTGGTTGGCTGTTGCGGTTTCCACTTTCGGGTCGCGTCTGCGTTTTCGTTTTCGTTGTAACATTTTTGTTTGTAATTTACTTTGGAATGCTGGCGCCGTAGTCGCCGTCTTCGCCTTGTGCGGTTTTCTTAGAAAAATCCCTAGTCGCGGTAATTGCAGTGCCTGCAGTGCCGCGTGTAGTGCCTCGAACTACGACTGCCGACAGGCAAATCAACTATCACCCAGTTGCTCAGATGCGGGACCACGGGCGGTATGAGCAATTTCGCATTCCTCATACGCCGCGTGGGTCGAATGCGAGTTGGTGACAGCGGGTGGCGCTTTAAGTTTCCGACCGCACAATAGCCCTAAAGTTCTCCCATCGCCCCGCTGCTCACCTTTCGCCTGTAGTAGTATAAATAAATATTATTCGGCCCTGTAACCCACTTAAGCACGGAAGTTTAATGGTCCCCCGGTCAAATTGTTGCCGTTATCTGAAGTTAAGTCGGCGAACATTTGGGCATACGTCTTTTGGGACGTCTGATGTATGTGGGCTAGGGCTTGCAATACATTTGTCAATGCAAGTTTCTAGTTACGCAACACTTATTGCGCATGCATTCTGCAGTTACATGAAACCTACTCCCCATTTTTGCATATCCCCTGTCATTTTCAGATTTTCCCCTTGACTTTTTCTTGAGTGGGCGGACATTCCCCAAAAAGGCAATCAGGTTTTTGTTACTATTTGACAACAAGCTAAATTGAAGTTGTGAAATTTGGAGTATACTAATAATTGCCAATTGACAGCACACTTAATTCGAAACAAAAGGATAAGTATGATCACATAAAAAGCATTAAACCCGAATGGCACACAACGATTTCACTTAAATTCGTGGAAATTGAATAGTACCGAAAAATTTAAAGGATTAAGTGGCTCACAGTTGGGCCAGAGAACAGACACAGAAAAAGAACAATAAAGCAGCCTGGTCGGACATATAGAATTGAGCAGCACCACCTATATCTGGCCCTTTTTTCGCCCTTTCAGAAACAGCGACCACAATGGACCAAAGGCATTGGCATAGCCAAAGGGGAAAGCCCTAAATACCAAATCGCCAGGTGGTGGCAACACCTCCGTCTTTCTTCCCTTTTTGGCCGCTTTTGGCCCTTCTTTCTGTGGGGCTCTTGTTCCAAACAATTTGCGATGCGACCCATCCAAACAGCCAAACACCCAAACACCCATAGCCCGCTCACTCACTCACTCACTTATTCATTTCCACTCAATCCACCCCGTGCCCCGAGCCTTTCACCCTTATGCTCATTCCCATCCGTTAATTGTCGTTTGTCTGTTGATTCTAGTTGCTAATTTCTGTTGTCCATTGGATCCGCTGGGGTGTACAAGGACGAATCGGGGGCGGAAGCAGGGTGGTGGATTTCGTGCCGGCCGCTGGGCACCTTTTGCAAAGATCAGCGGGCGATTTCCACACGGGTGCGGGAAATGAAAGTGGTGATGGGGGAAGGAGGGGATCAGGGGAGGAGGGGAGGACTGGTGGAGAGGAGGAGGACGGGCGAGGCAGTCGGCCAAAGGTGTTGTGTTGTTGTGGTGTTCTTTGCCCCGCTGCTTTTGTGTGGCAAGCGACAAAAGAAAGCGACTGGCAGCATTTACCAACACCATAGGACTAAAACACTGAGGTAAAAAACGACCTTGTTAATTTTTTTGTGTATTTCATTTATAATTCCTTCTTATTAATGACCACAAGAATACAAATTATGGGTCTTTTTCCTTGGTTTTGTCATTCCCTAATCATAAATGTATATATCCTAAAATGGGTACAAACACACAAATTCTATCAACAAATTAAATACTTTAATGAAAATGTAGATAATAGTAAACTCATACGAAAACAGCCTTTGGTGTTAAAAGCTGAATAATAATAACATGCTGCCGAATAAACCATCTGGTAAAATTGAAGTTCCTTCGTTTTTTCTTAGGGTTGTTTTATTGAAAACTAAATTCGTAGAGGAAAAGACACAAAAGGTATTTAACGGCAAACAATTTACCGAACTCTTTTCTTAACTTTGAACTATTAAACTCATTTTTATTACCATAAAAGTGGTTTCAAATACCACAAATCTATGTTGGCCTGTGAACTAAAAGCTTCAATACTTTCAAATTTGCTTCTGCTTTCTCTACTTTTTAACGCTTTTCCCTCAGTGCAACCCCCATCATTCAGAATGGGAAACAGAGGACCGGGCACAAAGGACAGTGAATGGTGGAGCATCCAGCGATATTATGACCGTAGGATTGCTGTCTCCCTCGAAATCGGCTTGATTCCTTGCCGTCGCTTCGATTGCAATTAATTCTGGGTATTCTCATCACGTTCCGGATCCCATCACCAAACAATTTCATCCGTATTAAATGCAATGATGAAAGTGAAAACGCAATCTGCGTTCACCCAATACGTAAGTCCCACCCCGTGTCCCGATTCCCGTTTCCATTTAATTCAGCCATCCAGTCATGACGATATTCGACCGGGATCGAAGTGGGAATGCCCTTGCAGGAAGTTCAGTGTGGAAAATCAGTGGTGGAGGTCTGCTCCAACTAGAGAACAGCCAAAAATCGAATAAAGAGACTCTAATCTCGACTCGATTTGGAGCTATTGAATACGTTTTCTATTTGTCAAGCGTCAATTTTAAAAGAGTCTTTTTGCCCGTTTTGCATGATTATTGTTTTTTCATTTTTACAGGCTAAGTATATCCAATATTTTGTAAAACTTTATTCACTTCTTAAAATAATATTATATTTGGACTTAATCATCTTTGATTGTTTTATTGCCATTACTTTAATGTTCTGCTCTGCCCTTTCTCATGTAGTTTATTATTGTCATTTCCAGTCTCTCCCTTATTTTCGGTTTTTAAACAATGTTGCTAAAATTGAAGTACACCTTCAGAAGCCACAAGGAAACTCTCCTCTTTTATCTCAGTCTGCGTTGCGATCCATTAGGATATTTGCCATGCGTCCTGTGGTGACGACGACTGAATTCTTTCTCCGGTTCTCACAACCATCAAAAAAAGACGATTTAATTTCATTAATTTGCACACACCCACTCGCCCACACAAAAGGGGCGGGGAAGGGGCGTGGCCTGGCATCTTCACACCTCCGGGGGGGCGTGCTTCTGGGCAGGACTGTGGCCACTTTTGTCGCTTGCCGTGCCACTTGCTACCTGCCACCTGCCAGCCCCGCCCCAACCAAATGCCTTTTATCCACAAAAATGTTCTCTTAATTTTTGTAATTTGTTGTCTTGCTGTGAGGACTCTGGAGTGGGATAAGGCCACCAGGCACTGGAGTAATGGTTTTAATATCAGCTATCAGGCATCAGCCCCAGTTTGTGGTCTCTCCAATGCGTCGAAATGAGATTTGCATATTGAGGCAGTGATGCCATGCGGAGGTTTTGGGTACCCTGCTTTTACCCACTCCCCAATCCCGGGGATGATGTGGAAAAAATTCCATTCTGCCCAGATTTGGGCAATGACTGGGCCGAAAAAAACAAACAACAAAATCTAAACGAAACGTAACGAAACCCCAACAAACCAAAACCTTGCGGAGGAAATAAAAAGTGAGGAAAAGTTACCTTTGCATGTCAGTAACATTTAGTGACGGAAAGTATCTAGATACACCCCATAGGCACTTATTTCCACATACCATGTACGATGTGGGGTGTACTGTTTTCGTATAAAATATATGGGAAACAGCATTGATTTCCGTCTGTGTGAAAGCCCCAATCTCAGAAGCCATAAGTTCTGGCAAAATTTTATTGAGCACTTGAAGTCTTTCGATGCCCCAAAATTCGAGTCATAAAGACTGAACCTAGGTATTTTTAATACTTGCATTTTAATGGCGCAATAGCAATTTTATTAGTGTTCGCCATAATCAGTGACTAGAATATTACAGAATGCTTT